TGGTAATAAAACCACCTGGGGAGGGGTGGCTTAAGGACGCCAGTGGTGGTGTGACCGCCGTGGGAAGGACTGCTCAGTGTGTTAGTAAAGGTACAACTGCCTGGGGAGGGATGAGGTTCTTGTGGTGGAACGTGTTCTGATGATGTTCCTCACACTGGTTCTCTGTGTTCTAGGAGGGAGAGTGCTGATCTGTGGAAGGTGGTTCTGGGCCTCAGTAACCTCGACCATCCCGGCGTCCACAGCCAGAGCCGTGGCGTTCGCTCCATCATCGTGCACCCGCGCTACAACCGGGCCGTGGTCGACTACGACATCAGCGTGGTGCAGCTCGACTCTGAGGTCAGAAGGGCTCTGTTTGGGTGGTACCGTCCAATAAGGTCTTCAAGATAAGATGGGGCTGGTCATTAGAGTTTATATGTTAGAGGCAGGATTTTAAATTCTATCCTGGATTTTACAGGGAGCCACTGAAGAGAAGCTGATACTGGAGAAATATGATCTGGTACTGGTTCTGTCAGAACCCTGCTGCCGCATGTTGGATCAGCTGGAGGGTTCTGAGAGAGTTACTGGGACATCCTGATAATAAGGAATTACAATAGTCCAGTGTAGAAGTTCTAAATGATGGACTGGTTTCTCAGCATCACTCTGAGACAGGATGTTCTGATGTTTACAGTATTACGTAGATGACAGAAGATCGTCCTACAGACTGGTTCTGTATGGCTGCTGAAGGACATGTCCTGGTCAGAAACACCTCCAAGGTTCTGTACAGTAGAACTGGAGGCCAAGGTGATGCCCTCTAGAACAGCTGTCTGGTTCCAGAGTGTTTCTGAGATGTTTAGGGCCAAATACAAGAACCTCAGTTTGTCCGGATTTAAATGAAGGAAATTCCAGGTCATCCAGACCTTGATGTCCTTCAGACATGTTGGAGTCTGACCAGCTGGTTGGTTTCATTTGGCTTCATAGATAAATATAGCTGGGTGTCGTCTGCAAAACAGTGTTTCTGTGATATTCACCAGTGATCTGTCAGTATTGATGGACCGTGTTATTGTTGTTGTCAGGTGGACGAGACGCCCTTCGTCAGACCAGTGTGTCTTCCTCTACCTGGCCAGCTGCCGTCGCCGGACTCCTACTGCTACATCACCGGCTGGGGTCACATGGGCAACAGGAGTAAGCACCGTCCAAAAACT